CATCTATTGAGATAACCATGTGGTTCTTATTCTTGCTCCTGTTGATGTGATGAATAATATTAATTGATTTGTGTATGTTGAACCAGCTTTGCATCATGAAGAGGGATATTCTTACAAGAGGATCACAAGGGCTCAATCGCTATGTGCATATGATCATACATAATGATGCTTATCAAAATGAATTCCAAGAAACAAAAGCAAGAGGCTTAATATTTTATTTTTTGTGTATTTTTCCCCTTTTTTCCTCCTGTTTTTCCCCTTTTGTCACTGTTTTTGATTTCTGTACATTTTGTCTTATATGTAAGTATGTCTGATTTGGGGAGGGGAAGGGGAAACCCAGAAATGGTGGGACAAAGAGTGAACTAATTCAGCAGTGGTATTCACTAGACACTATGTTGAAAATAAACTTTACAACTTGAGCTGGGGGAGTAGAGACAGGAGAATAAGAACTGGGAGAAAACAAGGGACGAAGTGACACTGTTCAAAAACAAATGTACTCAATACCTGGCTTACATAACTGTAACCCCTTTGTGTAACACCTTTACGATAAAATTTTTTTAAAGATAAAAAAGACTTTGAACTGATTCTTGGCTGATGGGGGAACTGCCACTGTGATAGGCAGCCAAACCACAAATGTGAAGAGACATGGATGTTGCTCCATCAAGAACTATAAGAATAGGGGCTGGGAAGGTGGCTTAGTGGTAGAACGCTTGCCTTACATGCCTGAGGCCCTGGTTCGATTCCTCAGCACCACATAAGCAAAAAGAAAAAAGCCAGAAGTGGCGCTGTGGCTCAAGTGGTAGAGCGCTACCTTGAGCTCAAGAGCTGAGGGATAGCGCCCAGGCTCAGAGTTCAAGCCACACAACCAATAAAAAAAAAAAGGAACTTTAAAAAAGGTATTTCAAACCATTGCCAATAATGTAAAGAAGCATGTCTCTAGAACATAAAGAAGATAACTTTGCTGGGATGAGGAGTAGGTAGCCATGCTTTGTCATCCACAAAATAAGATAAATCTAATTCCTATGTTCAGAATATTTTTAGTCACTTAAAAGTATATTCAGGGTAGATGTAGAAACAAAACTGTAGGTACAAAGAGCAAGCCCAAATATCACTCTGGATAGGGGATGGAAGAGCAAACCCAAGGTGAAGGACAGTTGGCTTGAGCCAAGAGTAGCCAAACAATGGGGACTCTGCTCTCAAGTAGTTTATAAATGAACACACAACTAAGAACTTGGGGCTGTGGCTAAAGTGGTAGAGGGCATAACTAGCAAATGTAAGGCCCAGGGTTCAGTTCCCAGTACCTCCAAAAAATGAAGGAAGTGAGAAGATAAGGAGGGAAGGACATTCTTCAGGTTAACAAAATTTCTTTTTTAATTCACCTGTTCTGTGAAGGATGCTGGTATGTAAAGGAAGCAGCAGGAAGGAAGATTGTGGGGAAACCATCTTTAGTCACTCAGCACTTAATGTGATTGAGTTGTTTCATCTTCCTTGAGATTAGAGGGGAAATGACACAGAAAAGGCTGTTTTCAAGTTCAAGGCTATTTTGAGAAGTGAAGGCCTAACCTGTTGTCTAAACTACGTAAAGATGCCACTTACCTGATAGTTGGGGGAGAAAGGAAAAGAGTGTTGAACAAACAAAACTCTGTGCCATTAATAATTATAAAAGCAGCAGAGATTTGGCAATCAGAAGTCTCCAGGTGATCTTTGAGAGGACATCATAGAGGACTGTAAGCTACAATCAAGAAAAGAATCAGGGGAAATGAATGGGTAAGAAATAGTAGGTCATGACATAAAATCGGTCATCCAGAAGGTTAGCCTTTGGTATTACACACCTGCAGTAGCACTGAGGGTCCAAACACATGGTGCTGCATGTATTTCCTTCCTGTCTTCAAAGGTCCTTCTTGATGACAGCACCATCAACATTGCAACCATCGCCTCGTCACGTTATGTGGGTCCACTGAAGACCCGAGTGGATGAGTGGCAGAAACAACTTACTTTATTTAATCAAACACTGGTGAGTAATAGTAATTGCAGTTCATGGACTCAAGACCTTAGAAACATTTGTTTCATAATTTGACTGCTATATCATTTAGAAATGGAAGCTTTATCTGTTGGCATTTTATTATGTTTAGCATGTAAGGAAATATACATATCTTGGGTTCTTCATTATAGATTTATACAGCATAATGTTATTTCCATCACCCTTTTCTCCTCACAGGACTTGTAAGGAGCCATAAAGTAACCCCTAGGAAGGATATACAGAAGTTCCCCATGTAATGATATATAGATATACAGATATTATTGTTATAAAGGTGATACACAGAGGGGCTACAATTACATAAGTCAAGTAATAAGTGCAATTCTTTTTGAACAGTGTCATCCCTTCCCCCTCTCCAAGATTTTCCCACCCATGCCCACCCACAAATTGTATAGTTGATTTTCAACATAATATCTAGTGAGGACCACCGCTGCATTTGTGGTAACTAGAATGTGTCTATAAATCTACAAGTTAACACACTGGTTGGTAAAAGGCAAAAAAAAATACACCAGGAGATGATAAATTGTCAGGGTCTCTAGATATTCACAAAGTGAGACCAAAAAAGGGGAATATTCTTAGGAGAGAATCACTAAGACTCAATAGCGATGTGCTATACGGCCGTGTAATGATTTTTAATGTAACCAGCTCTTTGATTTGGAAGCTATATTTGGTTTATACCGATATTTTTATCCCAGGAAGAATGGCTGAATTGCCAAAGAAACTGGCTCTATCTGGAAAGTATTTTTAATGCTCCTGATATTCAGAGGCAACTGCCTGCAGAGGCCAAGATGTTTCTTCAGGTGGATAAGTCATGGAAGGAAATCATGAGGAAAGTGAACCGGCTACCTAATGCTCTTCGAGCTGCTACTCAACCAGGTATAAAACAAACTAAAAATGAGACTTTACAATCATCAGAAGTGTTTGTCACATGTAAGAATCTAAACTGTGTTACATTCAACACTTGATTGAACACTATACTTTTTCTTATTAGCTCACAACTTAGTTTGTAACTTTAGAGCACAACTTATCTACTTTTTTGCTATTTTTACAGATTTTTGAAGATATCAATGATGGCTCTCTCGCTCATAATTTTGTATCTACAGGATCTGTGTTAACCTTCAACTGACTTAGTCTGTTTAAGCTCCCCCACAGATATAAGCACAAAATTTTCCATGTCTTATTTTTTAATACATTCATCAAAACTTCTTAAAAATACCACCACATGTTGCAATTCTAGTTATGATTGAAATGCATTTACATTTCACATGGTCACATTTTACAGGTCACATTTCTATGGATGTGGAATCAGTGTCTCTGGGTTCATAGAGATAGTTGTTGAACTTGATGTTTTGTATCAAAGCATCAGTAAACCTCCTTGTCATGCAGCAAATGGAAGGATGTGGTCTATCCTGATGAATAGTTCCAGGCAGCTTTCTGGCCATCCAAAGGCAACTTGTTGGGCTTTACACTTTGTCCAAAAACTCCTCGATAAGGCACAATCAGAAAAGAAAAATGACATGAAAAGACAGAAGTAAAAACTCTTTAGGGCTATTAGAGGTTGTCTACCTTCCTTGGCTCATGACTAGCCTCTAGTCAGCAGTTATGTAGCACTACCATCTGCTTCCATTGTTACAGCTCCTTCTCTGCCTCCCCTTCCTACGAGGGCCCTTGTGATTAATGGGCCTACCAAATGTAAGATAACTACCTCCTCCTAAGATCCTTAACATGATCATATCAATAAAGTTCCTGCTTCTATTGAAATAACTATTCACAGGGTTCAGAAACTAGGACCTGGACTTCTCAAGGAGACATTATTCTGCCTTGCAAACTCATTTAATTGTAATATTCAAAGCTTTGCTGCAAATGCATCATTGTATTAGGTTGCAGACCAGGCCCTACTAAATTTGCTATAGAAAATAATTTTGAATTTAAAAAAATGTGATTCCAATACATTTGGTTCTAAGGACTTCAGATAAAGTATAGACCTGTAAATGTATATTTTCCATGGAGGGAAATCAAGCAGGATGAAAAGGCTAGATAATAGGCAAGTACTACCATATGTAGTCCCTATGACATAGAAGACTTTTTGTTAGAGTTAGAGTAGTTTTTGAGCAGAAACCTGCAGAAAAGAGGGAGTGAACAATGCATGTGGACCTAAAGGAAAATTGTTAAAAACAAAGGAGGAACAAAGAAAAGGTTTCAGGGCTGGGAATGTGGCTTAGTGGTAGAGTGCTTGCCTAGCATGTATGAAGCCTTGGGTTTGATTCCTCAGTACCACATAGAAATGGCCAGAAATGGCGCTGTGGCTCAAGTGGTAGAGCGCTAGCCTTGAGCAAAAGAAGCTCAGGGACAGTGCCCAGGTCCTGGGTTCAAGCCCCAAGACTGGAAAAAAATATAAAATTAGAATAAGTAAAATTTTTAAATGTTTAGAAAAAGAAAACGTTTCAGAAGTTAGAGTGTGCATATGCAACTATCAACCTGGAAGTCAATGTAGAGTGGAGTGCACAAAGAGAAGGGCTTGGGAGCCAAGACTAGAGAGTTAAGTGTGCTGGAGAGCACAGCCAGGCATTGCATGGGGCCTTTGATAACCCAACAATCCCACTCCTGGGCATTTATCCAATTGATGGCAAACCAGGCCACATTAAAGCCACCAACACAACTATGTTCATTGCAGCAGTGTTTACCATAGCCAAGATCTGGAATCAACCCAGCTGCTCCTCAAAACAATGTAGTCAATGTAGTATATATACACAATGGAATAATATGCTTCCATCAGCAAGAATGACATTGCCACATTCATAAAGAAAGGGGAAGATTTGAAAAAAAAATTATATTAAGCAAAATAAGCCAGACCCAAAGAAACATAAGTTGCATGGTTTCCCTTATTTGTAATAATTAGAATGTGACTATAAATCTACAAGTAAATCCAATGGATAGTAAAAGACAAAAAATTATACTTGGAAATGATAAATTAAACAGGACTCTAAACATTCACACAGTAAGACTGAAGGGAGATATTCTTTTTTTTTATTTTATTTTATTTGTGAAGATACTGTACAGAGGGGTTACAATTAC